AAATTAAAGAGTTCAAGGTTGAATATTCAATACTAAATTACGTTGGAAAATTGATTGGATTAAAGTATTATTGATAAGGATTTCCGTTTATCCTAAAAACCTTCAAAATGTGTGTCGATTTAAGATTAATAGGTATCTTAATGAATCATAATTATTCTTAAAACACTATCTTAGTTTTAGTCCGCTGTATTTCACTTCTAAGTATGTAGTGATGCATAAAACAGAAATGCAAGTCTGAAGATTTACTATACTGCTATAAATTCAACAAGGAAATGAACTATCAATAAAATAAAATTAGAAGCTTACGTCATGATAGCATGTTAAAGACGCTGCACATCATAAAGATAAGTTCACAACATTTAAAAATCAATTATAATTAAACATTCAATCTCAATAAAAACGTAATGATAAATATTTATGTACGTCTCGTAGTTAATGAGGAAATTAATGGAAAACAAACATTAACGTATGTTTATCAGCTGTTTAAGATCCATCTGCTGAACATGTTTTTATTTAGGCGCATTGTTTAAATCTATATTAATTTAAAAGCTTATAAGGAAGGTATGACTTTTAATGACGAATAGAAAATGCCATATTACAATCAATATAGACAAATTAGTGGTCCAAAGATTCGTATTGACCAATCCAACGAAGTCTGCCAAGTCACTAAAACACTTGGTTAAATGAATGTGATAGCCTTGTATGCATAAAAATATAAAGGTAACCTTCTAGTAGAAGAAAGACAGAAAGTCAATAACCTGTCTTAACTTCCATTATACATATAAATTGTTGATTATATTTTATCCACTATGAGTCGACATAAAATTAAATAATTTTTATACAATTGTTCACGCTTACTCTAATGGAACGGATGCAGTCCGTCGCCTGAGTTCCTCGAGAGTCCCGCTAGGCCTTGGGACGAACCGTTGATATATAAAAAAGAAATTGAGATCAAAAACCCCAGGTTTGTTAATAACATTCCTTAGTTTTAATGTTTTTATCATTCGTTTAATACATTACACTGTACACATGAATCATCGCAGTCACATTATAAGATGCCCAGTAATTATTACGAGAAACTGCAAATAATGGTAAAACCAAATCCACCGATTTTTATTACAAAGTGTATTCTTATCGAACTGTTGTTTAGAAAAAAATGTATTTTGATTACAATAAAAACCATCCATTCGAAAAAAAAAGAATGAAACGATTAGTCGTAACTGTTTTTCAATAGTTTTTCGTATGAGGATTTGTCGTATTCTTTACTATCACAAAAGATAAATCTACTAGTTCTGTACATGTAATAAGAACCTTAATATAATTCTTTTATTCATATTGTATTTCATCCGTCTTTGTCCGATATTCTCATCTTGTTTTATTATCATCATAAAAATTGTAATCATATCGTAGTCTTTTCAGTCTTAGTAATGTTTCACTCGTATAGCAAGATACTGTTATGGTTTTTATGTTAATTATAAAAGTTTATTTTTTGTGTACATTGGTGTTTGTAAGTTTCTTCATCATAATATTTGAAAACCAGACCAGGCTTAGAAAAAATAGAGGAGACGATACCAACAAAATTTAGATTAACCAGAAAACACTGTAGTCATATTCAGAAAAACAGTGATAGAGGTTACAAAATTAGTTTCTTTAATTCTGTAATTTCATACCACTTTCATAGATACCAACCCACAAGCAACGGTCACGGGTACCAGGACGACAGACATCTGCAGAACAACTGGCAGAGTCAGAACCTGCCCTGCAGCAGGCAGTGTGGAGGACTAGTCAGGTACGATCGTTACGACAGGGAGCGTAAGGAACCAAGTATGAAGGATTACAGGGAGAGGGACGATGCCAGATTCTGGCCCTGAACTAATCGCTTTCATTCTGTCGCATGCGTCACTCATTGTGGACAGCAGAAACAATGGGTATGGTTCTTGATAGTTGTGTGTCTGCTAGAGTGTAGTTTAGCCACATAATACTTACTAATTCAAGTTACTATGTGGTCAATAGTTAGTTATTTAGTTCTTAATATGATATGAAGCAGTGAATGCATTTACAATGTTTAATTTTCTCTGAGTAAATAATCATCAGTTGTTACATATCCCTGATTTTTACATTTTAGAGACTATCTCGTAAAAACCGAATATAGTCGTAGTTTGCCTGCAGATAATTTCAGCTTTATCTCACTATTAATACTATATTTCTCTTCCCCACAGCAATAAAATCAACGAGCTAGTGCGAAAATCACAGAAATCAGAACCACCACCGCGACCCGCTTACAACCCCACCTACGATCCGGAGTCAGACTTTAGGAAGATACTGCGGAACTCACCCGAAATACTCGCCACGCCTATCTTCAGCTCCGACGACGATTATACGGAAGGTCCTTTTAGGTTCAAACAGTTGTTACGACCCACTCTAGGCCCTACAGAGAGCCTTCGAAAAAGAAAAGTCCGCAACTCCTCCGGTCAAAGCCCCTGGATGTCGGATAGTTCACAGGACAGTACCAGTTCGAAGCAAGCTCTATGCAAACGCCGTCCACAGATTAGTATGGGAGTCTTCTATAATTGATAGGCTGATAGCAACTTAGAAAGTTATGAGCAGGCGAGTTTCACCTCTACCTCCTAGAGATAAGGTGCTCCCAACTTCCTAGAAGTTTGACTGTAACAGTCAACGAAGTTTCGCATGGCTTGTTGGAAACATGTTGTATATGATAGTCAAGTAACAGGAATAGTTTCTCTAGCTGTAAGTAATTAGACAATGCAAAGTGTGTAAAGCGTTCTCATAAGTCTTTCAGCTCTTCTCAATATTTATATTCTTAAACTTTTTGTTGCGTTTAAGAATCAAATATAGCGACGGTTACATTGTTGCCGTTTATTTTGAACAATGCTGATTGTGCTTGCCTCACAGCCATAATTTAGTAATATTTAAGAGCACTTAAAATTTATATAGTCTATAAACTTAAAATTATTGGAATTTTGTTCGTACAGCCGTCCTAATGAGAACTATTGTTTGAACTATTTCAAAGAAATGTAAATTCCATATTTTAGTTTATGTTTCTTTCTAAAATACTCATATATTTTTATTTTCTAAGCCAGTCGGTTCGAAATGTTCTGAAATTCTAGTAATCACCTTATAAACTGGATTAAATTACATACATAATTAGAGTTTGACTTGTATCTTTTGTGTGTTCGTATGATAATTATTTCTTAAATAATATTCCAGTCATTGGTTGAAATCGATTTGTTAATGTAAAGGGCAAATTCATTAGATGAAAGAGGAAATGAATCAACGTCAGTCTTAACAGTTAAATTATAATTTTAATTCCTTTGGAGTCACTCTAATGAGTCGAAAATCGATTGCATTTATTTCACAGAGTCCGTGAGCAATCCGCAAAGTACAGAAATTTACAAATTTGATACGAACTTTTTACATTTTCTCCATGTTTAAGCAATTACCAAAGCCCTAAATGTATAATTTTAGTTATTAAGCGATAAGGATCTTACTATGACTTCACTGCGTTAACTTTGTATAATTGTATGAGCTAATTATTGTAACTATCAGATTTGTCTTATAATATGTATCAGTATTATTATATCATATATTACTTATCTACTCGTGTTTAGTACATCATGTATATGGAAAGTAGGATCTCACCGGTAAAGTGATTTTGATTAAAATTACTCATTATTGCCATCACAGTTACAGAGAGTAAATCTATTGAAATGTTATCATAATGTAAAATTATTATTATAGATAAATCATTGACAACCTTTGTGATAATGTGCCAATGATTATTAATAAGTTAATTAGTCGTCTATTTGGGTGGTCAACGATATGAAATAAAGTTTGTGCATCACTTAAAAGTGTTTCAATTACTTTCTGATCATTGTCCATGCCAAAACCAGTCCATGAACTTTCCAACTACCCATATAAATAATTACCTTGCCAACTTTTGAAAACATCTAACTTGCACATAGAAGCGAACAGTCATGCAATTGGCGCTGAAAATCAAAACAAATGAAACACGTAAAGTAGATTTTTACGTTCTCGCAAAAATCTGTGTTAAATGAAAAGCCGCGACCGTGTGTAGCGCGGGGAGGCGCGGGCGGCTGTGGCGCCACGTGACGGCGCGCGCTCCGCCAATGGCGGCGCCGGCACGGCGTGCGCGCGCAGCCGCGCAGTCGCGCCCGCGCCAGCCATGGCGGCCACCGGCCTGCCCGACGTCGACCTCTCTCAGATAAAAACGCGCTCCATCGAGAGAACTCTGCTCCCCCTCATCAAGCAGGTATGCAACCAGTGCTACGGTTCTCGGACCTCACTGCTGAAATGAGGCGCCAGGCTACGACGAACGGCGGACGTGTATGTGACGTCTTGCCGTACGGGTTGCGTAGTCGGCGCTCCTCTGACGTATCGGTCGACGGGAACATCGACGATAATTCCTCGCTTTTACGTACGCGACTAAAACCGTACTTTTATTTTCGTAGTAGCAATAATTTCTATTGCGTCGCCGGTTTGACGTCCGCGATTAGAATTTCCCGCCCACGACAGCAATCTGTTGCGCTACGGCCCGCGCAGCCGCGTCGAGGCATCACCTTGCGGCGGCTGTTTTGAAACAAATGGCTATGTTTTGTAAATGAAAAGATACAATAACTTGTCTATTATATTTTTAAATATACTTGCCTATTTACGTTTCTTCAAGTTTATTATTATGAAGTGAAAGTAAAGGATAAGTAGGTAAGTTAAGCAGCAGTGAAAGTTTGTGGGGGCATAGTAAGCACGAGGGGCGGGCAGCCACGTGGACTCGTAGCGGGTGGTGCGCTGTGGGGCGGGCGGGTAGTTGCGATCGATGCGCGCTGGGTCCGTCAGTGCCGCGGCGAACGCGGGCGGAGCGGCGCGGTGCCGCAAGACACAGCGCCACCGAGCACGTGCGCGCGCCCGCGGACTGCGCGCCGCCGAGCGCGCGCCCACCGCCCGCGCGCCACGCGCTCCAAGACATGGACGCGCTCTCCGATGACGATGAATTTGCGCGCCGAGAGCCTCAGGTACGTGCTCACCGTTGAGCTGGATCTTCAATGCTGTACAGGCTCCCGCACGACCAGCCTTGCCCAGGCCCTGCAGATGTACAAAGCGCAACAAGTAGTGTGGGCGCGGGGTAGTAAAGAAGCTCGCGTGCAAGAATGACCTTGATCGGAGCTCGAGACGCGCGGGCTCGCCCCGCGTCCCGGCCGATGACAATCAGATCACCTTCCAAAATATGATTAATTAAATAATAATATCTTAAACTCTTACGTGATTATTAAGTTGTTACTTATAAGTTGCTATGAGTTGTATTTATCTCATATTTTTATTGTTTTCTTTACTTTCAATGAAGGTCAAGGTTCGTAAGCAAACATTGTTTTTAAACCTATGAAAGCAAGCACAACTCGCCTGTCCTAGTTAGGGACTATTAAAAATTGAAGGGGTAAAAAAGTTGTGCAGCAAACTTTAAATTGAATTTAGGCTGGTTCAGTATTTTTAATTATTACCGTCATTAACTGACGCATGCGGTGTATTTATAAGGGACCCATATTTTATTTATCATTATGATAATTTTCATTGTGATTACGTGGAAAAACGGAAGGCATAGTGAAGTTTTCTTTAAAAGGGATCTGTAATTTACTACAATCCACTTGGGTCTGATCCGATTAACCTTAGAGCGGGTGGCATCAGCAGTGGGAACACATTGATTTAAATTAAGTTTTCAGTTGCTTACGTAACGCTCCACTGAGTGGAGTTGACATTGTGCTTATTCGACTTATCTTGCTCTCGGAGCAATCAACACCAAACAAAGACGTAGCGTCACAACTTAACGTCACTAAAATCCCGTGTAGGTACAGGTGGGACCGGTGTACAGACAGTATTATCAGGGTTACATAAAAGAAGAATTAATTTTAAGAACCTACCCTTCTCAATTTGAAGTATTGTGTAACGGTAATAAATATTAAAAGAAAAAGCATCGATGCCAGGTACCGCAAAATACCCCTCCTTTTAATTGAAGGCAAATTAATTCCAGACATATTTACGACTCACAAATTGGTCTCGATATCAGATGTTCTAAAATAAGCAACTACCGAACCTAACATTGATTATACAATAAATATTTAATTTTATTCAGAGGATTGCATGTTTAGAACTTAAACCAAATCGTTACGTTTTTACTGTCTTTGTTTATTTTTGTTTTCTTTACGTAATCGCGCAGGTTTAGTTTAAAAAAGACGAACATCAGGACTATCTAGTAGTCTGCATGCTTTGATGGATTGATTATTGTATTCAACGTTTGAACCATTCGTTATTTATAAATATAAGAAAAAGTAAATGTAAATCGATGTGCTATATGAAATATCTTGCACGTCGCTGAATTCTAAGAAAATTTCCGTTTTCTTGATCTCGGCCGTATTTAACTGGATTTAGAAAATCCGTCGGCAGGTATTCTGATTGCGTTAACATTGTTCCTCCTACACTCTTTCTCCGAGTCATCTTTTCAAAATAGTAAATCCAGTTTTTGTACCATAATTCTTATATTCTTTTAAGTCATTTATATACGATTACATCCCTAAGTTGTAACCTCAGTTAACTTGTTCACAAATAAATCATTAAACTACAATGCTAATTTTTCAAGTAATTTACCCTGAGTTCAAAGCTCCAAAATATCTACGTTGTTCATTTCAATCCTACAATAAGAAAAATACTTTAATTAGCTAGACCAATAGGTTATAATATCGTATAACATCTTTCCCGTTAATTCTCTATAACAACCAGTCCTTGTCGTCAAATTACAGGCAGAAAGTGGCCGGCTATTTACTCGATCACAAAGAAAACCGTACTTATATAAAGGTCTTCATTTCATTATTAATGCAATGACCAACACGTGCCATTTCTCACACAAACAATGTTTCCTGCTAGTTAAATTGCACTCGTATGATCCGAGTTACAGTATAAGTTTTATAAAGGAAACAGGTGAATTTTTGTCTTCAGAAACCTTATGTCCTTCTACAAAACAAAGGGAGTTAGTGGATGGCCCAAATTATTATCATTAACTGAAGTTTCACAGCTTTAGGGGATGGGATCAAAGGAACAGTGTAGCGTCCAATCTAAATTGTCATCTTACCCCTTTATAAGAGGGTCGTAATGGACAACTAAAGGATTAGCCAGGGTCCATGGGGCATGGTCAAAGACGCATTGAGTAAAGTAAGATCATTACTACGATGTTCTCTTATGGTTCAAATATGGAGGAGATCTATGTGTAAGCAGTGGATCGAAATGAGCTGACGATGATAAAATTGCGTTTATCTTAAAGTAAAACATATTGTTGTGTCACTGAAATAAGGATTGTTTACTTACACGATATTCGTATTAAAAAATATTCTCCTTCGCTTAAAACCTGGGAATCGTATTGAAGTAAAGTTGCCATTAATACCATTTTATTAGTAGTAAAATCTGAAGTTGTAAGAAAAAACAGACGTAGTAAATACTTGGTAGTAGTGTGTGTTCACGTAACCTCACATTATTTGCAGACGGCCGCAAGTTATGTACGTAGCAAAATTGTTTAGCCTCCATTATATAGAGTGTATTATATGATATTTATACCCAGGAGTCTACCGCAGTGGATGCGGCGACGCGTGGCAAATCAAAAAGTTGCGCGCTTACTTTTCCTTATTCAATATATATCTGACTTTAGGAGCTTTCCTCTCATTAGCTTCTTGGTTAGAGTAACCGAAACCATAATATACATTGAATAATTTAAATTATACCAAAACTTCTTTCACCATAACTTTTTTTTCTTTATTTAAATTTGATTTAATACGATGTACTAAGAAGGAAGTAAGTAAGAAGAAAGGTACAATTATATAATTCTGTTATTAGGTATTTAGCAAGAGAAAAGTTTGTATAAAGTATATGGTATATGAATGCTTTTCGAATACTAACATTTTTTTAATACATAATATCTATGAATTTTGCATGTCTTCGCCTGAATTACCACCAGCTATCTAAAAATTTCATTCAGGATATATTTTAGATCGTAAAAGTCTTCCTAGAATGGTACCTACATTACTAGTTTATGCTAAAAGCATGATTTCAGAAATGGTTGACAGTAACAATAAAAGATAATTTGCATATTTTATATCCAGTCCAACGTTCATTTTTGTACTGTAATATTGTTCATAGATAATACGTACCCAAAAACCTAGGCAATAATATTGTAACCCTAACTAATAATAATAAATAGAATCCTGCGTTTATACGATAGAATAAAACTAGTCATCTTAGGATAGTTTAGTTTTCCTAAGCGATATTTGAAATGTTCGATACTTGATACTTTTTCGTAAGAGTGCTCAGAATATTATGTATGTAATTTTAGCTTTCATAGCTTTCTGCGGTTCCGGGCATTACCTACCGATACGTGTTATCAATATCTTTTCGAAATCAGATAATGAGCCGCATATTTTCAGCTTTGGCAATGCGATAATGTCGTAATATTTGCATTTCGATTAGACTAACATTGATTTTTAGCAGAATAGACAAAAAAACACAAAACTAAACGTGACAACTGACTAACAGCAAACCACCCCCATTTTTCTCTCGAGCATTTCACACGCGATACTATCGTTTATAAAGAACATTCGTTCTACTATGTATTACTATTTATTTTATTCGTAGTTTAGTTTGCTACGACGAAGCTCTTCGCAGAACTGAAACGCCACTAATTGTCGCCAATTTACCGAAGCAAGTTTACCCCAGTTACGTTGGAGTGCTAAGAATATTGTATTTGTGCGAAGAGGTCAACCAAGTCAAATATAATAATATATAAGACCGTATTGTTCTGAATCCGAGAGGACCTTAACTAATTGCTAACTCAATTTTGAATGAGAACTGTGTAGCATCAGAGTCTATTTACAACGTTTATGGTTAGTGGAAGTAGCTTCAATGTGTGAGTTTCACTTAGTAGTACTTATTCGTATATTCGTTCAAATCTTTATGATTGTGTATTTTGTCTAATAAGACTATTTACAATGCAAATTCTTTCGATGTCATAGATTCCGGATACACTAAAGATTTGTTACAGAATAATATTTTTTGGATCGACACAAAACTTAATATATTACTCCTTCATTAACAATATTATATTTATCACAGATCAGCAGTCTGGTGGCGTCGCGCGGCGAGGCATCCGGCGGGGCTGCCGTCCAACGGGTCGGAGCTGCCGTCTGTTGCGCCGTCGAACGATTCGTGGCCGTCGGCGAGACCATCGCCGATGACAACCCTGACGTGCGACACAGCATGGTGCTCGCCTGCAAGGAGGCAAGAGCCGCAGGTCAGTACAAGAAGAACATCATAGGTGATATTCTTAATTTAAACACGCCCAATGAAAATTAAGAATATTTTAATCAAATTGTTGTCACCAATTGTTATACAGTAAAGAGCACAAAGAAATTAATATCACCATTTCAATAATTGGTAAATACTACACGCAGTGTTCACGCAAATATAATATTAAATATCGTTTTAATTTAAAACGAAGAAACCGTGGTAGGTATTCAAATATGTAAATTTCATGACGCTTCTATTTACTAGTACAAACGCATGTCGTAAGCAAATACTACTACACTATAATACTATCGGTATTTTCCAAGCCGATAGCTTAATCGTATAAATCATTTTTCATGTAACACAACACCGCGTAAATAAACTTTACGACACTTATCAAAATACGGAATCTGTATTAAAGCAAATATTAACTCTGTATAATTTTAACGGAATTAATATGGCGAAGCTATTATAAAATTCAAATTAAATCGTTCTTTCGTTTTATTAACATTCAAAGAGCACATAAATTTTCATGAAAATTGAACAACTTTTGGGATAGTTTTCGTTCGTTCGGTGCCATTTTGTCGAAATAGTTTCTTAGCTATTTAATTAAAGCTAAGTCCTTTAATAATGACGTCACCCCACGCCGACAATAAAGTTAAACTTAGGTATACAATCAAGTTGCTAATGTGTTTAAGCTAGGCAAACACCGCAACTAAACTTGAGGCGTCAAATTACTTGGCTATGTACGGTAAACAAACCGTAGATTAAATGCTGCTAAATTATAATAATTACTTGTGCAAATATGTCAAGTGCTGTACCTACGCACAAAACCCCAAGAGCTTTACAAAGCTGCGGAAATGTTTAATTTCAGATATTATTTTAATAACGTAAAATATATAAATGGAAAGCGGTGGGATTAATTCCACCCTCGCATACAAGCATTCAGAAGGTTTTAATCAAGGCTTGCGTGACCTATAAATCTCTCCGATATCTCTATTGTGTATTTAAGGGGCCGCAATGTATTCGCCTGAATGGGTATGCACAGTTAAATGTTAAGAAGTAGTTGGTATGAAGCAATTGAGTCGCTGCGACAAAAAGTGGATTTATGTCCGCTCGCGATTGGCTCCTTAATTTAAAGCTTAACTGCTACATTTCACTCGGGTCGGGATCCTCCCTTTGTTCCTAGTGACGGGGACGCACGAATTATTTCTGAATAATGAATCTATTTAAATGTTGGGATTTATTGAAACAGTACATTTGTATACATATAATTTCTCAGCAGAGCCTGACTGAAAACAATAGGTGTATAATAATACATGTTAAGATGAATGCACTAAAAACACTGATACTTGATTTTATTCCTTACACTATGTCATTTCCTAGATTTTAATAAAGTCTTTCTCTTTAGAGGCAATTTTACCCTTATTTCGCAGATCAGATAGTAAATGCTGGTCATCTGGTCTCATTTCAGCTGAAAATCATTGAGTACTAGAACCTTCAAGTAAAATAACAACGTGATTTATGTAACGATCTCCGACCGCTCTTAATGCATAATCCTATTAAGTTCAAAATAACGTTCACAATTCCATGTTTCGTTTTTCACTTTTTGTAGCAAACGTGTCGCAGATAATACGGGGAATCAAGGCTACCCTTTCTAACAGCCCTCATAAATTTGTGTCAACAACCTGACCCGAATTTTAATGCTTGAACGTTATTACCGGATCCAGCATGCCAACAAACAAAAGATGCAAACAATGTCCGTCCCTAGTCCCTGCCCTCCAACCTACGGGAGCACCGATCTATGGGCTTACCATATTAGAGCGAAACGTGTTATTTTATTAATTAAATGTGATTTCAAATTCAAATTCAAATTCAAATTCTTTTATTGCATATCATGTGTACAATTGGTGTTACATGAGGTACAGTATCAACATGAAACCCGGCTAGGGCACGGCAACATATGGAGCAAAATATAATCTAATTGAACTACTTAATCAATACTTATTACATAAGAAATGTTGTTTTCAACATTAAAATATTTTCATTAAACACATTAAACATTACCATTAAACATTACCATTATACCATTATACATTAAACATTACCATTAACATTAAACATTAACATATTTTCTTTATTTTATTGTACCTCTAATATGTATTTACATAAATTTCTTAATAATGTGTAGGTATTATTGTATGTAGTATATGTATATTATTATGAAGTATATTTACATATATTTATTATGATTTTTTATTGAGTCGGTATGCATTGAGTGTTAAGTTTTGCTGGTTTGGTCATCAAAAAACTCATTAAGGGTGTAGTAACATTTTTCAATGAGGAACCGTTTTAATTTATTTATAAACACGTTATATTTTTCTGCTTCTTTTATGTGTTTCGGTACAGCGTTATATATTTTTATTGACATAACTAAGGTGCCAGACGAATGCATATGAAGTCGGGAGCTTGGTAGGTTTAGTCTGGTTTTGTGTCTTAAGTTGTATTCTGTCTTATTGTCACGTGTATTGTAATATTCTGGGCGGTTTCTGACAAATTTACACATTTCCAAGATGTAGGTGCATATCAAGGTAAGTATTTTGTGGTTTCTAAAATGTGGTCTACAGCTGTCGGTTTGTTCTATATTTGTCATTATTCTAATTAACTTTTTTTGTATTGTAAATATGGTCTGTGAGTCTGTACTATTGCCCCAAAGTATTATGCCATAGCTTATCCACGCTTGGGCATAAGCATAATATGTGGCAAGTGCGGTTTTAAAGTTGGTGGATTTTTTTATTTCATATAAGGCGTAGGAAAATTTCGATAACTTTGATTTAATTTTTTGTATGTGTGATTTCCAGTTGATGTGTGAGTCTATTGATAAGCCCAGTAAGGTAAATTGATTTACTTGTTCTATTTGGATGCTATTGAATTTAAAGTCAATTTTAAGGGGGGATTTTTGTTGGGGGTGAAAAGTCATAAGTTTGGTTTTTGAGAAGTTGATTTCCAAATTATGGTGTTCCATCCAGTTTACTGCTGCAGAAAGGAGAGTGTTAAGTTTATTATCTAAGTTCATATTGTTTTGGCATGACGTGATAAGTGATATATCGTCAGCAAACAGGACGCATGGTTCTTTTATGGTCTTAGGGAGGTCATTGATGTAGATGAGGAACATAAGGCACCCTATTACACTTCCTTGAGGAATTGATGCATTTACCGGTTTGCATTCAGATCTTATCTTAGATATTTGTTTGGTTTGATTATCAAAATATTCTATCTCCACAAGTTGTTCTCGGTCTCTAAGATATGAAACAAACCAATCATGAGCTTTTCCCCTTATTCCTATTCCTTTTAATTTATCTAGCAGTATGTGAAATTGTACCCTATCGTAAGCCTTTGTCATGTCGAGCAGTATACCTATCGCGTAGTTCTTGTTGTCGATAATATTTAAAGCTTCTTGGATATATTTGTAGACTGCCAGGGTTGTGGTTCTATTTTTACGAAAACCATTCTGGCAGTCGTCTAGTATATTATATTTTTCACAGAAATCATAAACGCGCTCGCACATTGCTTTCTCGAATATCTTCGAGGCTGTAGGTAATAAAGCTATGGGACGGTAGTTATTTGGGTCTGTTTTGTCGTTCTTCTTGTGAATTGGCTTTATTATGGATTTTTTAAGTTGGTTTGGGAAAGTTCCTTCTTCGAATGATTGATTAATTAATTTGTAGAATGGTAGTGTTAGTTCGTTCGCACATTGTTTAAGTAAGGAGGGAGGGAGCTCATCAACGCCATAACTTTGTTTGTTTTTTAAGTTTTTTATGATGTTATTTACTTCATAGGGATCGACAGGTTTGAGAAACATAGTATTTTCTATTTGACGTAATACGGGGAAACCTTTAGGGGTAGGCAGTTGTTTTTTCACCAATGGACATAAAAAAGTTGTTAAAAGCGTCAGCAACCTGTGAAGGTTCATTGACCAGACTATTGTTTAGGTTTAATTTTATATTGTGTTTTTCGCTGTTAATTGTTTTATTTGTATTTTCATTAATGATCCTCCACATAGTTTTTGTTTTATTTGAAGATTTATTTATTCTATTTATATATGTAGCTTTTTTGCTGTTGTTACAGATTTTTTTAATATTTTTTCGTATTTCTTGTAGTATTAATAATATGGGGTCATTTGATTTTTGTGTAAGGATTTTTAGAAGTCTTTTGTTTTTGCAGGACAATTTAATACCTTTTGTTAGCCAGTACTTTTTCTTCTTGGCATTTAATTTAATTTTTTTTAAAGGAATACATGAATTGAGAATGTTTGTTAGAATATTATTAAAAACGTTATAATTTTCGTTTATGTTGTTAGTTTCTATTAAGATGTCATTCCATTTTATTTTGTTAAGTTCGGATTTAAAAGTTTGTGTGTTTTTGATAGTAAATAATCGTTTTCTTGTGTGCCATATTATGTTTTTGTTTTGTTTATTCGATATTGTATGTAAGATGGTGGCATTGTGGTCGGAGAAACCGAATTCTTCAACCGTTGTGTATGTGTTATTGTTTTTAAAGTTAGTAAATATTAGGTCTAAACATGTCGAAGTAGTCTGTGTTATGCGTGTAGGAACTTTTATATGTTGGTTAAACTTATATTCTAACATGAGATCTAAGAATGAATTTGTTCTTAAATTATTTTCCAAAGTATTAATATTAAAATCTCCACCTAATATAACATTACACTTTGAAAATTTCTTACTTATTAAGGACATAATTTGTTTTAGTTTAGTTATAAATTGATCTTCTTCCTTTCTATTCCAATAACAACTCAGAATTAACATATTTTCCTTTTTTATCTCTATTGCACAAATTTCTAAACAATACTCAATAGACATATCACAAAAATCACTTATCTCTACATAGTCAATTTGGTCCTGCAGTAGGATGCACACGCCGCCGCCGGTTCGGGAGCTGCGACAGTACGATGCTGCAATTTTGTAGCCATCAAATCGCAGGGTATCCAGTTTTTCTTGTGATAGCCAAGTTTCACTTAAGCACATGACATTGTATATGGGTTTCTCGTCAATAAATGCTTCTAGTAGGTGTTGTTTGTTGTAAATACTTTGGATATTTTGAAATAAAATTTTAAATTCTTGGTCCGTGGTTTCGAAAATTATAATTTTTACGATTTGTATCTCCTCTGTTAGTTGCATACGTATTGTTTTTTGTAGTGGGAGAAGATACGCAGTTGTTTATTGTTTCGTCGTTACTTTCAGCATTGTTTTGGGTATTTGTTATTTCCTTGTTAACCAATATTCTTTTTCCTTCTATGAACAATTGGTTGTTTCTTATTGTTGCGTGCAGACCGTTTTTACGTGCTTTTAGCATTTCGTCACGTAGTATTTTTCTTTCATTACGGGCGTAATCATTTAAGAATTCAGAAACGTAAATTCTTGTTCCTTGAAAGTAATGCCCATTTTCAATTATGTATTTTGCTGTTCTTTTGCTCAGAAGTTCGATGACTAAGGGACGGTTTTTTATATTACTTCTTCCTATTCTGTATGTTTCTTCGATGTAACCCGTAAGGTCTAATTCAAGGATTTCGTAGAACAACTCAATTATCCTGCTTTGGAGTTCGCAATCAGTTTCATTGTAGTTTTCGGGGAATCCATAGAGTACAATTTTCTTTGAGTTTTCGTTATTAATTTGGTATTTTAGTTGGTAGTTTCAGTTATGTTTAAGGTAGTTTCTGTTAGTTTTAGGTTTTGTATTTCGTATAGAAACATATGGTTTCTAGATTTTCTATCTGTTTAGTCAAGTTATTTATTTCAACTTTATTGTTATTAACGCCTTGAGTAATTTCTCGGAAGTTTGTTGAGAATTCTATTTTTATTCCGTTGAGAGCCTTACAGATTTCAGCTGCAATTAATTGTTTAATCTCGGTAATTACGCATAGCTTGTTATGTTCGAATTTCTGATCTATTAATGTCTCCAACTTATTGAGCATAGTATCAATTTGCGAATGTGGTATGTTAGGACTCTGTGGTTGGAATGTATCGCCTATTACGCTTATTTCGTCGTCGATGTGGGTGCAGTCGTTATTGGTGTCTTCCAGAGCAAGTATCTGATACAAGGAAGCATTTCCATCGGTTTTTTTATTTCCAGGTGAGGTATTCCTTTTGGTTAGATTTGATTCTACTGGACGAATAGGAGTGTTTGTGTTATCTCCTTTTGGTTTTTTACAGCGGCAGAGTTGACAATTCCAAGCTGTTTTGTCTTCTACTGTTAGCCGCAGAAAGTTGGGCGTTGTTATGTTTGCACACTTTAGGTCGTATTTATTGTGGCATAAATTGCACATCAAATATCGTCTATTTGTTATTTGTTGAAGACAGCCCGCGCATGGTGGCGCCATCTTTTGGTCCAATTTAGTTTGTAGTGGTTGTAATGTCGATAATATGACAGATTGTAATGGGATTGTAGTTCTTACTATCTTGATGTAGTTTAATGTAATTTACATAGATGGCGTGTTTTTGTTTAAAGTTTTGTAAACTAGATGGCGCTGTTGAAAATTTGCATTAGAGTTTGCGGGTGACTCGAAATTTGAATTATAGGTAACAACGGAATCTAAATAGAGTTTTGGCTTTTTTGAAAAAAGTTTATCTTTTTCACTATGACACGTTCCAGAACATAAGTTTTGGGTTCAAAACACAGTTTAAGCAGCACAGAGTTTATGTTTTTGCGCCTTTTAGGGCATTATTGTAATAATTTCGTGTTTGTTTACACTTTGTCCAATACGATTTTTTTAGTTCACTATATTTTTGTTATTATTGAATTAATTGTTAAGATAACATTTGTACACAGTTATTAACCTTTAGTCTTTGTTTTAAGCACTGATTCACATCCTAATTATCCGTTTACTTAATTTAATAATTTAAAATTCGCGGAGCTGATGTTTACTGTGGCAAGTGGCGCCATCCTCGACTATCGACTCAATCGATTTACTTCCCTGATTCTGACAACAATGAGTGTAAAATTTCCTACCTAGAATTAATCCCAGGATTACATTACTGTGGCTTGTACTACGGACAATAATGCTAGTGAAACATAAAATTTTCACGAGACCAGTGAACCGTATCAAAGTCCTCAGGTGGCCCAACTTGATAACAATCGGTGTAACTTCGATATAAATCACTTTCCTTTTATTCCACATTTTATGGGGTCAGTTTTACGTCTTATAAATTATTTATGTGCCACTAAAACCTCATTTCGTAAGTGTTTCGTAACATTGTGTTTTGTCAAAACATCCGATTCTAACTGAACACTGGACAAAGCAGTTTAATATTAAATAAAGCAAACATATAATTTTATAATAAACTCATTTATATTTAATGAGAGGGTACCCACCTCTTAACTCTTTCAACCCAGCTTACCGCACTTCGTATATCATGTTTGACACCACTAAGAGTACTGGTTCAAAACAAATGACTCGACACCCTCATTTACTAAAATTGTTCTCGCGGTTTTTAAGACAAGGGTGCAAACCGCTTGACCGCATTACCTTGAGCATATACAAAGTGGACTACAAAACATATACAGCACCCAGCTACTGATAAATTACCTTTAGCACTGGAAATCCACATGAATGATTTCAATATCCTCTCAAAACCCGAACCGTGGACATTGTATTCAATTCAAATTGATATCACGAAAGTCATCAATCATGGATGCCATTGTAATTCAATCTACCCTTATCATACCGTTAAATTCCTTAATGATTGCTTTAGGTGCCAGTTAACTTAGGCTCGTTCATTTTGTCAGTGATATTGTTTAGAAACTGTATTATTGAAAATTAGACGATGGTAAAGTGTAAGTACCGCTTAAAATTATTTTGTAAGTACTATATCGAAAATATTCCATCCCCCTCGAGCTGAACGTTATTAAACGTTGCTGGAATGACATAATATCAGAGCCCCGAAGCGTTACAGATGAACGGCCATGTAATTACTTACCATTAGGAGCACCATCAAATTTGTAATGGCCCTCCCGTGAACATTTTTCACTAACCGAAAAATGTCGTCCGTTCATTGGGTTTGCCAAGGGCGCGCGCAGTGGGTCAGCTGTAACGAGATTATCCGGGATCGAAACAAATCTAATAAATAACAGGTGTCGACTGTGACCTTCGCCGGCCACTCCCATACTTCGAAGCTAATGGATAGCTGTCCTAATGCTGTTCTTGTCCAGCTATTGTTTACCAAAATGGCTATCACAAATATAAGTTATTTGCTGATCCATCGACATGATTAGCGGGACCTTTTCATTAACTCTCAAGGATGAAGCTTTGTTTTATTTTAAACTAGCTTCATACTCGCGACTTCGCGTGGTTCTTTGGTCATTATTTTTGTGAGAATTTAACTGTTTGTTATGCTTTCTCGCGTGCGAAGGAATATTTTGTATGGCAATCGGTTGACTTTTAAACATTGTTCTGTGATATTAGGAAACCAGTAGCTTTTATTGTGAAATTTATTATAATAAAGAATATTCACAAATCCGTGACAATCACATTGCAAATTTTATTACGATACGAATTTTAGATCCCCAGAACCTCAACCAGTTTCGAAGATATCATTATATGTCAGGTTACGTTACGTGCTTAAATATTAAGACACAAATTCTGTCAGGCTCATAATATGTCAGATAATATAGTAGGGCTTTTAGATGGGGTCCGTAGAATTTGTGGTGACTAGTAAATTGGTTTCGGGCTCAGGTGATCTGTAGCTAAGGCTGGGGTCCATAAAGGCATAAAATGTATTCTCCTAACTCGTATCTCACCTTGTTTACGACCTGATAGAAACGAGAGCTGTTTTAAAGTGGAATGAAATTGAATTCTGTTAGTGAATTGAAAATGGGTAGATCGGTGGTTGAGAAAAGACAAAGTAGAAATTTTATTCAGGTGTAAAAATGTTAGTACAAATAATTCTAAAAACAATGGAATATTTAATTAATAATAATTCAATAATTTGTTTTTTTAAACGTTGCCCCACACTAGGATTTTCTCCTGTGTCGTGGGTGCGTTTACAAACATACACAATGACACCCAGACCCAAAACAACAATTTGTGGATCACATAAATGGGTGTGGGTGGAATTGGTACATTCCACTCACACCCATTTATCTTATACTTTGTTTAAATAATAAGCTCAAATTCAACAATAAAGCATTTTTTTACTTAAAGCACTCTTGAATTCATAATCTCAATCACGTTAATCGTGAACATAAAAGTTACACTGAATCCCACAGTCCATATAAAATCCCGACTTATACAAAAAATTAAATTTCACCGAAGCGATTGTTAATGTCGACGGCAATGCACACTTAGATAGCATTAAAGTAAATATTTATGATTCGCTTTCACACCTACCGCGGTCGCTAGCTGCATAGTCTGTTGTTATTAAACATTTACCTCTATATAGAGACTGAGGTTCAGGACCACCCCGCCTGCATTTACACGACTAGGTACGGATATCAGATAATGTACAAACGGACGATGTTTTCTACGTGATTTGTATGTTAACTCGTCAAGTACCGGTTTTATAGACACAATTAAAGAACAATAGGTCGCGGTCACCGGTGACCGCTTGGTGTTTGACAGTTTAAACCATTGATATTAATATGTGAAAAAATATTTTCTCGAAGAAGGTGCTGAAGAGGATTTTAATTGTTAAGAATATGTATCCAAAAACAGCAACCGATAACGTCGATGACGTTATTGATAAAAAAGCACAAAAACCAGACTTTATAAAGCTAAATAAGATTCGAAACCTAAATAAAACTTCAAAGTATTAAATAAAATCCAAAGAAAGGCTTCCTAAGCCAACAAAGAAAGTATAGAGAAATATTTTATTTATAAACAGTAAGCGTGCACCTACTATATTCGTTCTTGCAGGAGTACAGGAGCTTTCCGATTCAATGAGCCATCGTCTCGAGCAATTTCAAAGATAATGTTATCCGCTGGCAATACCCGTTCGTGTTTATAACAATAACCCACTGAACATTACATTTTAAGATGGCTTCAGTAGTTGCATCATGAATACTTGAGATGATCTAAAGCCTTACGTTTTATGACCCGATTTTGTCTGTCGAAAGGGAACAATAAAGGATCTTGAATTTCGGGTTCAGAGAATATTTTAAAGGATATAACGACTTTCGAAATTCTTACTATACGGAAGCTTTTTTTTAAGGGGGAAATTTATTCAATGACTTCTCTCGCCTCGGGTTAGGCGAGAGTGTCAGACTCTTACTGACTGAAAACCACCCCGTTCCTACTCCTGCTCTTCGAGCCGGAGCCCCGACAACCCGTTAGGCCTTCCGCGGCTCCGTAACAGCCCTATTGGGCCCTATCTGTGGTGGTCTGATGGCTCTTTTAGGGGCGCGCGGAACGCGACGCGCCATACGCACGGGTCTGGTTCTGGTCGGGCGGCAAGCTACCCTTGCTCACCGTTCGCAGATCCGTGCGGTCCTCGCAGTGATACCATACGGCAGCTAGCAATGTGCTTCTTGTAGCAATAGACTCTATATCACCAGTAGAAAAATTGCTGTTACTCAAGTGAACCCTTGGAATAGAACTGTTACGTCATTTTGTTAAAGACACCGAACTATAAGTTCTGGAATCGAATGCAATATTCAAACACCAAGTAAACGAAGATACCCAATAAAATACTAACTATTGGATAGATTTACTCTAACACGAAACTCATAAATTCATTCTGAAAACGTTACTTTAACCTTTTATTCACGTTTAGTGAGTTTGAAATCAAACATTAATGACGTCGTTAAATTTCTTATCATGTCAAGCTGTATAATGAGAGTTCTTTGTTTTACTTGTCCTTCACCCTGTATCTGTCCCCTACCACGGGCACATTGTGTGCATTATTAAACAAATAAATTTTGCCCGTGTTCCTCCGTATCAGAGCAAAACCAATGAACAGGTAATGTAGGGGATATGGGAAAATGTTTAGCAATATTTTACTGTATAAAGGTTGATGTTACCTATATGTATAAATATGTGTAAAATTCTAAAAATATGTTTTTATTATTTGCAAAGGATTTTTGGAAAATTTTCACTTCATTTTGCAAGTCAAATAGACTTAAACGTAACAGTTAGGTATATAATAAATCAGTGGTATGGAAACAAATGGAACCTTTAATAATATTGATGATATAATCCAGTTATGCTTTCCAACGTTCTTTTTTTCATTTGCTATATTTCGATATTTAATATCAAATGTACGTCATGTTCCATATGAAATGAATCTTTACATTCCAACACACTCGTAAAAAGCTACACGCACAATACACCCAAGTAAACGCTAACTTCAAAGAAAAATTCTCAAGCACCATAACACACATTTATGC